TTCTCTATTCATTAGCCCGATAATCCTTTTAAATTATGTTTGAATTCAAAACAAATTTCACACGCTTCTATCTAGATATATATATATATCCTAAAAGGCAAACTTATTTGCATTCTGACTTTTCAATTAAAATATAGTATAGTACTATAATATACTAAGTCTAATAGTAATTTAGTTATGTCGATGTTGTTGTTCTTTGGAAAACAAGAAATTGCTAACGTAATATGCACTGTTGGCATAAATTATGCTGTTGTATTTGAATTTCGTATTCGAAATAGTTTTCCCTTTCGCATTGCTTCTGGAGCTGGGAAATTTATTGCTCCCATTCTGAAGAAAGGGAAAAAATGTTGCCTGCAGCACTTGGCGCGTTGTCTGTTGCTGCTGCTGCTGTTTATGCTTCGAATTTTACAATTCCGAAAATTTCTTCACTTTGAAAGCAGAGCGTAAGAGGGGGGAGTGAGCGGCAGTGAGTGCGAATACAATCGCATGCACTGTACAATGCGTCTGTTTTCATCATCATTAATGTTTAAACAAAATAACATTGGCAGCCAGAGACAGGGCAGCCTCTGACGCCTCTGAGGCTTCTGACGCTTCTGCTCCTCTGCTCGGTGTGTGTATTTTGCTATTAATAACAAAAGCTTCAGAAGAATTCAAATTCAAATTCGAAATTTGAATTTCTTTTTGTTATTTCATTTCGGTTCGGTTCGTTTCGTCTCGTTTCGTTTTCTCGGCAACCGCAAGAGAACAATAAACTGAGTAGCAGAGCCAGCCAAAGATGCCAAAGATTCGAAGAACACAAAAAAAAAAAAAAAAAAAAAAATAAAAAACAAGTAAGAATTCTCTAGTCGAGACTGCTCGACTAGGTGATACCCTGAACCCTCTAAGCTGATATTCTACTCATTCTGCACTCCTTTTATGCATACATGCATACATACGCATCCACACGCACGTATAATTACGCGCTCTGCTGACTGCGCAGTTAGCAGCGACTGCGCTTGAGCTGCGCTGCAGAGTGGGCAATATTATGAGAATTTATTTGTTGAATAATTTCTTTTGTAGACATACAATCTTAATGAAACTTTCAGAGCTTGATCATATGGTGAAAATGCGTTTTTTACAAATGTGGGATGAAGGGGGTGTGGTATCCAAAATCTGTAAATTACAAAATCTTTGTATCGATCAACTGTATATACACAAATCTGAAGTCTCTAGATCTAAGAATCAATCATCAATCAATTTTTCGATTATTCTCGATAAAAAAATTTATGGATGAATTATCGAAAAGAATATGATAAACTTGTACTGCGTATGGTACACACGAGTATGCATGCCTAATTGCAGCTCTCTAGCTCTTATAACCTTTGAGATCGACGCACTCATACGCTTATACGGACGGACGGACAGACGAACAGGATTATATCGACTCACCTCGTCACGCTGATCAAGAATATATATACTTTATGGGGTCTGCGATGATTCCTTCTGCCCGTTACATACTTTTTCACAAAACCATTATACCCTGATTTCCCATTTTCAATGGGTTCAGGGTATAAAAAAAAACCGTGGCTAAAATGCTTGCGGTACATTTTATGAATAGCTATCTCGAATATATTATAGTGCTGCAATTGCTATACAATCATATTCAATCGATCGATGTCAAGTATACAAATTAATATTAATGCTGCAAAATGAATAATATTTATGCAAAGCATTCTGAAGAATGGAATAACAAAAAATATTTGTTAAAGTGGCAGAAGTAATTAGTAATTCAAATGTATTGGAATACATTATGAAATAAATCGTTATTTACTAGATTAGTATCTATCTGTCAATATAAATATTTAATACTTAACTTCTGTTAGACTAGAAATTTATATTGTACAACTTCTGGGTAAGAGTTCCAACGGATATTTTTTTCAAATAATGAATAATAATTTTTTTTTATGTTGTATATATTTTTTAACAGCTCAAATCTGTTTAGTTAATTGTTGCACCATATTCCCATTAATATTATCTGATTTTGAGTTTGAGTTGATGTTAGGCTTTCACATCTTCTAAAAACATTTATTTTATATATTAAATTGCAATTTTATATATGTATAATATTTTTTAATTTTCCCCATTGAGTTGTAAAAAAAAATATATTTAGTATATGTTTTTAAAACATTTTCATTTCAATTCTGCCAAGTCATATGCCATTGGTATTTTCTGGTAAATAATCGTAAACTTTCTATTTATAATCAATTAAAAATTGCTGGAATTGCTAAAAACAATGGCTCTCAAAACAAAATAGGCAATGTACGCACTTGTTTTCTGTTTGCTGTCAGCAGGTGGATGTTGTGGCCCTTCTTCGATGCCAGCCACGCCCAGTGTACGTAAGCACAGAATTCTACTAGACCATGTGATAAGCCAATGCACAGCATCCGTTCAGTCTCAACTCTGCTTGCCTCTCTCCCTCTCTCTCTCTTGCTCTGTCTTCTTCTCTCTCCCGCTCATGCTACAATAAAGCAGTAAATTATTTGCAACAGAGTGAAGAATTTCCAAATAAACAATTTCCGCTGGAGCTCTGGTTTAAGCAACCCAATGATATCGCAATGCCACAGCATTAGCCACTATACACAATGTGCGTTAAGCGCACATTTCCTGCTCATGTTTGCTCATGCTGTAGTTGTTTTTGCTGCTTCTTCTGCTCACAGACATTGTTGTTAGTTGGTATTGTTTAAGCAATTGAATAGATATATTCCTTTTAAATTTTATTCTTTTGGGAAATTATTGCAAATGGAATCACATTAAGGGGGAATATCTATTAAATAAATGTGATGTGATATTTTGAATATATGAATATTAAACAACTTGACTGTTCGAATAGGAGAAGCCAGCAAAGAGGCTTTATTTCTTTTACAATTATCGATTGTTATCGATAATAAGAGCTAACGACAGACATGTTTATATCGACTTTGTCTCTACTACTAGGGTGTCCCCTGTTTTCTGCTGCATGTTCATTTTCATTAAATCATATATACCCTGTCTTCACATTTTCATTTAGTTCAGGGTATAAAAATATACATTTGATATATTGAAGCTCTCGAATTGAATTTTCGTTATATATTTTTGGGATACATTAATTATACTTGGTATATCTTTAAGATAATCTGTTGGAAATATTAAGGAAATGCACAAATAATTAAAGCTTCGCCTAATGCCAATCTCAAGTCGTTAAGCCGCTCGGTTCCGTTCGGTTCGGTTCGGTTCGTTTCGTGTTGATCATTTAATAAATTCATGACTCATAACAGCCCGCGTTCTCAAGCGTCTATCAAACATATAAATCACCTGTTAAAGAAAAGTGTTGTATTTTAAGATATTGACTAATTAACATGAACGCCTATGCGAAACTAAATAAATTATAATTAAAAACTATTGTTTACACAAGTTTAGTTCAATATATGAAATGAATCACAACAAGACAAACAGAAAAAAAAAAATCTATAACAAACATATATATATTTATATGTATATTTATATGATTAACACATGGCCCAGCCGCAGAGATTACATAGCTCTTAATGAAAGCAAAAGCCCATTGGCCGAGCAACATAAATAATTACGAGGCAGTAAAACAAAGAAAAAAAAAAGAAAATAATAATACTAAAAACTACTTGGCAAAGCTACAAAAACAAAAACAAAAAACTAAAAAAAAAAGTGTATAATGAAACTAAACCAGCAACAGCTAATATAATTTACCACATATCAAAAACTTTGATCTGATCCACAAATAAGAAATAATAAAAAAAAAAAAAGCAAAACAAGTAAAATGAAAACTCTGCGAGTGCTGTGCATGGCATTTGTCTGCTACTATGCAATCTTCATAATATATTATTACTACCATCGTGCCTACGTACGGGCCAATAAACAAACGAGTGCCTCGACTCGCTGATCTGCAGATCCCGTAGCGAGTGGCTGCCACCGGGCAACAGCTGAGCGTGGCAACCTGCAGCTGCCTCCCACTCAAAGCGACGGCCCGCCATTGAGAATTTCTTTTCGTTTGGCCTTTGACGCGAATACACACTCACACACATAAACACACACATACGCAGAGAGAGAGAGAGATGAATACATATATCTATAGATATAGCTGGGCTATATTATATATACAAAATGATGCTGTGTTGCGGCTATAAATTTCGATAGTCTCGGTGCCAAGCAAAACTCGAAACGAAAATCGTTTTTGTTATTAACAAACAACAGTGCGGGCAACACTCACACATATACGAATGCAGAGGCACACTCACAGCACACATACATTTATATGCTAGCATCGCTTAGCAATTGGCAATTTCAATTGCAATTTCATCTTAATCAACTGCATCAACAAAAGCCTAGATACATCATTATTCAACATCATCAGCATCACCAACATCATCATCATCATTTGTTCTCTTCATTCGAGGTACTCTCATATCCATTTATTTTATTTACAACATAAACATTTCATGGCGCGCGCGTGTCCAAAAAAAAAAAAATTAAAAAAAAAATTAACATTTCGACAGATAAAAATCAATTAAATCGCGCTATAAATCAAATTGAAAAACAAAAAAATGCAAAAAGAAATAAATAAATGTTTACAAAAACTCCTTTCTTGAAAACTACATACAGATCAAGCTGGATATTAACTTGATTACATAAATGGAAAATAAAAATAAATATATAAAATAAAATTAATAAAAAATATTAAAAAAAAGAAAAGAAAAGAAAAAAACAATTATATAAAATGTTTGAGCAGTTTTTTATTTTTAAATGAAATGCAAGCGAAAAAACATATGAAAATGAAGCTATCGATAATATGCTTCGATAAACAAAATATTTTGAATTAATATAATAATATAATTTGAATATAGAAATATAAAATAATTTTTTAATATAAATTATTGATTATTATTGAAAATTATCTAAAATGTGTTTACACAACAATTCTAACTAAAGTATTTCACTTGTTCTTGCAGCCTTGCAGCTTATCCAATGATGGCCTACGATATTAGCATAAAGATCGATAACTCTGAAATGCCAGCGATAGAAACTTGATCGATAATTGAGAAGGCAGTTAAAATCAAAATAAGAACATCAACCAAAAGTTACAACTTTCGCGTTTCAGTGAAAAATCAGCAAATTAACTAATTACAAAGCATCCAAGCTAAACTAACTCTAAGTTAAGCAGAAGTCAACAAATAAACAAGCAACAGCAACTGTAGCAAACCCAATTACGTAGCAAATAAAACTTAACTAAAAACGAAATTAAGCGAAACGAACTAAAAGTTAGATTTAATACAACAACACAAACCAATGCAAATGAAGCAAAAGCAACAACAGCAACAACAACAGCAGCAACCGCAACAATTGAGCAGTAAATCAATGCGCAACATACGAAAGCATAAAAAGCTCAAAGCGTCTACAACAATTAGTAGTAGAAATTAGTAGAAAATAGCAGAGGAAGAAGAAGAACAAGAGGAGGAGTTAGTGAAGCACATCCTGTAGGAAGAAGCATTGAGCATGCAACAGGCTGATCAACTAACGCAACAACAACTACAGCTACAGCAACAACAACAGCTACAGCTCCAACAGCAACAGCAACAACAACAGCAACAGCAGCTGCAACAAAATGGCGGCGATATGGCCGCCTATGCCGCTGCCCAGGCCGCCGCCGGCATCAAGCGCGCCCCAATGAGCGGCGGCCGCTTTGACTTTGAGGACGGCGGCACTTACTGCGGCGGCTGGGACGAGGGCAAGGCCCATGGACACGGCGTCTGCACTGGGCCGAAGCATCAGGGCGCGTATGCTGGCGCCTGGAATTATGGCTTTGAAGTATCCGGATCGTACATTTGGCCCAGGTAACTATACAACATTTTGTTTGTTTTTATGTAATTAACTGACTTTTAATGAGTTTTTGCATACAATAAAATTGCCATATTCGGAATGGAATTTACAACTTCATTAATTTTAGTGCAAGAGAAACTTTAAATTGGTTATGCATGCAGTGACGTCATTAATGCATGCAAAAGTTTGCTTAGGTGGCAACGCTGTTTCGATGTGTGCCGAGTGAATGGCAAGGATAGAGAAGAGGAAGAAGTGCACATAGAAAAGTTGACCCAACTGGAAAAAGTTATTTATTTAATTTGTGTGGAGCAATTTTGCTTTGTAGAGCTTTGCTAAAAGCAGTAAAAAGTAAATCATATTAAAATAAGACTGGAAATGTGAAATGCAATTTAATGAAGCAGGGAAGAGGAAGAAGCAAGTGTTGGCAGTTTAGCCTATTACCGGCTAGATCTAGCCTAATTGACAGTGGCCTAGTCTATTGATATACATAAATGAAAATGAATATGGATGGAATAGCGATAATTGAGCAGAAGTCTTAATACTTAAGAGAACTATAGAGCGGGAGAAAAACGGTTTATGACATCTGATAATTATTAATATTAATGTACCTAAGCTATTTAGCATATAAATTTAGTCTATATTTTTGAGAGCTGAGTAATGAAATATGCCGATTTAATTTGCGTGTTTTTGCTTGTCTATATGTGTATGTAGATGTGTGTTCCAATGCCAGTCTGTATATCTGTCCATCTCTCTCTGTCGACAGAGAGACATCCCTGTTTATCTCAGAGTCTATTTCTCTGTGACAAAAGCAAGAGACGACGAAGAATCATCATCCGAAGATCATTTAAGTTGTCTATGTATGCATCAGTATTCATTCGGTATTTATATTTGAGTAAAACGAAGCTTGAGTGCTTGTAGCAGCAGAGAGAGCTCCCATTGGTCACTTAAGCTCGACTGCAACGATCTTTACTTACCAGGTAGCTGTCGTCGGGCTCAACAGTTGAGCGCGACTTCGGCTTTGAGTTAGTGTCGCCCTATATAAAGGGCAGCAGCTGCAGCATTTCTTCAGTCAGCCAGGTCTGGTGAGGGCCAGTCGAGCAGTGCAGTAAAGTGAAGTGAAGTGAAGTGGGTGATCGTTCAGCTAAGCATTGAAGACAGAGGAAATGCTTAGAAGAAATACTTGCAGTAAACACTTGGAGAAAATAGACGAAATGCTAAGAAGAAACACTTAGAGGGAATACATGGAAGACGTAGGTAAAAATAGTTCTTGGAGGGAATACTTAGATGAAATACAAAACATACTTAAAGAAAACACAGGAAATACTTGGAGGAAATATTTAGAGGAAATATTGAAAGAAAATATTTAGATGAAATATATAGAACTTACATAGTACTTAGAAGAAATTCTATGAGAAAATATTTAGAAGAAATACACACAAGAAATATTTAGAGAAAAAAGAGGAAAACAGATTAAACTCTTGGATAGAAGAAATACTTAGAGAAAATAGAGGGTCACTTAACGGAAATACTCAGAGGAAATGCTTGGAAGGAATACTTAAAAGAAATACTTAGAAGAAACACTTAGAAGAAACACTTAGAGGAAATACTTAGAGGAAATACTTAGGGATGTGTAAAGGTAATCAATTATGTACTTCAAATATTGATCATTCATTAGTCATTCGAAATAGAATGAAGCATTTCTTTAACATATGTGCCAATTATAATTACTCTATCTTATATTATTCTATTTCTGCTTGCAGCGGATCACACTACGAGGGTCAGTGGCAAAATGGTCGTCGACATGGTTTGGGCGTGGAGCAGATTGGCCGGCAGATCTACCGTGGCGAATGGTCAAAGGACGGGCACAAGGGGCGCTACGGTGTGCGGGAGAGCACTGTGTCGACGGCCAAGTACGAGGGCACCTGGAACGAAGGCTATCAGGATGGTTCCGGTTGCGAGACCTACGCAGATGGCGGTAAGTGGTTCACGCTGCGTATACGTAATTTCACTCGATGCATGAGATCATTCGGCGTCTATTTGCTAGTCGGCGCGTATTTTGAGAATACAACAGCAGCAGCGCGGCAGCTGAAATCAATTTATTGTTTTATTTTACTTTTTGACATTTCTGTAATAATTCGGCGCCTGTCCATGTAAGTGTCTGTGTGTGTGTGCATTCGTTTAGCCCCTTTGAATATTCTGTTCTTGGCTTGCCGGTAAACCAAAATCTCTCACACACAATGCCGTTTCACACACACTGACACACACACACACATACTGAGAGTGACCACAGCCTGACGTCATATTTTCCTTAGTCTTTTTACGTTTTTCTTTTGAAACATTTTTGCAACATGAGTTGGTTTTTTCTGGGGAAATTCGGTTAGCTCGCCAATGGGTGCCCAGAGCATATGGCTCTACATCTACTATATACACTTGTGCATATGTATGTGTAGGCATTGCCTTCTGTGGTGATGCATATACTAAATATATGATATGCAAATATTAAAATATATTTGCAGTTTACATTGTTTCGCGAAATGTCATTGTGTGCGAATGCGATGCACTCATCTTGTATTGAGGTTGTTATTCACAATTGCGGCTCATCAATGCATGTGCTTGCATCTGATGCAGTGCGCCAATAATGTATTCGTACAGCAGCAGCGCTTTTCTTTTTAAACAATTAAAATATATATAGCAAGTAAACACGTTTAATATGATGTAAATAATATTATCCAATTAATTGAATTTAAAAAAACAAGTAAGAAGACTCTAGTCGAGACTGCTCGACTAGGAGATACCCTGAACCCTCTAATCTGATATTCTAATCACTCTGCACTTCTTTTCGGCACACGTACATACACATCCACGTATTAGAACGCGCTCTGCTAGCTGCGCAGTAAGCAGCGACTGCGCTTGTGCTGCGCTGCAGTGTGGGCAACATTATAAGGATTTATTTGTTGAATATTTTAATTTCTAGACGTACAATCTTAATGAAACTTTCAGAACATAATCATAATATTCAAATGTATGTACATTCCAGCTAGCTTTCGATAAGGTTTTTGATCGATAATAAATTATCGGGAGTAGTTATCGATATAAAAAGAAAAACTTGATAAAAAAAAAATTTCAAGTCTCTAGCTCTTATATCTTCTGAAATCGACGCGTTCATACATACGGACGGACGGACGGACGGACGGACGGACAGACAGACGGACAGGGCCAAATCGACTTAGCTCGTCGCCCTGATCAAGAATATATATACTTTGTGGGGTCTGCCACGCCTCCTTCTGTCTGTTACATACTTTTAACAAAACCATTATACCCTGATTTCCCATTTTCAATGGGTTCAGGGTATAAAAAAACTATTTCATTATATTGATGAGCTAAAGTGTTCGAAAACATAATAGCAACAGTGTACTTTGCTTCTGGTTATTTTAGCACAGATCTTTAATTGGACAAAGTTTGGTCTTTTATGTTGATTAAAATAACTATAGAGGTTTTAATTAAGCTTAAATTGTTTAAAAGCCTCTAAGCGTTTGAAACTTTATTGAAAAGTGAGCTGAAGCAAAAGGTGGAACAAAAGGAACTTAATCTTCTCATTTGAAATTCCCATAAATTAAAAAAATGACTAGGGCGAGAAAACTTTTGTATACTAGACTATATACAGTGTACCAATAATGTTTTCGTACAGCAGCAACTTTTTTCCTTATGAAAGAATAAAACAAAAGAGTTAATCTAAATTTAAAGAAATTTCAGTTTAACTATATCATAAAGAATTATGTTAAAATGTTTCTTAGTTTAAGATTTCCAATTAAATAATTTTGAAAAGTAATAAGTATCTTTAAAAAAAAGTCTTATTCATTTAAAAAATGTTATTTCTGGCATTGTAAATACTTGTTAGCTGGAAATTAATTTGATTTAGAGTTTAGAGAAAATCTTTTGATAATGCTTGAAACTTACTTCGTTGATTTTATACAAGATATGAAAACAGTCTGGCCTTACTTTAAGCACTTACTTTTTACATATATATGGGATTCGTTTAAGTGATTAAGTTCACCGAATGCTCTTAGCTGCCTGGCTAACTGCAATATACGAGTATTTAGGTGCCCCTTTCCCTCTCCTCTCTTTCTTAATATAGAACTTTTATTGTTAGGGGCTCTCGGCAAATACCCAATAGCCAACAACTGCGGACACCTTGTGTACGGGCTGCAGTAACCTTTAATCCGGTTGAGTTAACTATGCAAATGTTTGCCCTGCTGTTTGGGGTGGGGGGAGGCAACAAGTATAAATTGTCATTGTTGCTAAGCCTCAGCAACATTTACTAATTAAATAACCCAACCTGCTTCCGACATTCCTTCCGAATGCCACAACATAAAAAGGCGAACAACTTGTCCCTCCGTAAGGTATTTAAATGGGGCAAGACACGTGGAGCCATTAATAGAATACCAGTTTCTTCCAGCAATACGAGAGCCTACGACTGGGCGGCCGGCCGGCTAATGAATGTATTCCATGCCAAGTAGATGCAGTCGAGAGTTCTGGCAGGACTTGCGCCTGCTTGAGGCATTCCAATGAGGTCACACACTGCGGTTGAATTTATCATTTGCATTTGAATTGGCCAGCAGCAAGAAGAGAAGTGGAGAAACGGGGCGATCTAATGGCCTATTTTGCTTTCCGTATTGCAGGCAAGTACCAGGGCCAGTGGCAGGAGGGCAAGCGGCACGGCTATGGCATACGCACCTCGGCGCCCTTTGGCCTCGCCTCGCATCATCGACGCAAGAATCTGCACGCCTCGTTGAGCTCCCTGCGCAGCGCCGAGAACGGCAATGCCATCAAGGTGCCCGAGAAGACCGAGGAGATACGCGGCGGCTTCGTGCTGACCGCCAAGTCGGATAAGCTGCCCGTGCGCCGCAACAGCCTCACCGAGAAGACGAAGAAGGGCTTTCTGATGGTATGTCAACAGGTGCCTAATAAGCTCCCACATTATATTGATTGTTTTTTTGTTTTTCATTTTCGCAGGGGCTGAAAATGCGTAAGCAGCGCAGCACTGGAGATTTGGAAAAACGTGGCACTATCGCCTCCGGCAGCATAAGGTCCACGATGTCGTCGGCCTCATGGATTAGCACCGGATCCGAGCAGTCCAACTTGACAACGAAGTGAGTGCGAAATGATGATGACTAAATCTTATTAAAATAATATTAATATACTAAATTGCATTAATTAATATAATTAATATTAATATAATTAATATTAATATACTAAATTGAATTAATTATTATAATTAATTTAATTACTTTAGAATCCGGTTATAACAATGCTTATAGCGTCCGTACGGTTATTGCGACGAAAAGGCGGGTGACCCAACAAACTTTTAGCAAACTTTAAGGGTTAAAGCGTCTTCCGGGTGTAAAGACGGACTTGTGACTTGAGCGGCGTTATAATCGAATTCTACTGTACATATATACATGTACATAATATTTATAGCGAGGATAATTCTAAAGTATTGGATGTTTAAGAGGAATATTGTAATGGGCGAGGCATATTGTTATATCATCCACCGCACTATCGGTATTTTTACCCATAGTGCACCGTACGTCAACTAATCTCTTAAAAATCTTTTTAATAAGATAGACACACACAAAATCCGCTTAAAACGATGCTCAAAGGACCGTCTCTATAATCGGATGAGAATAACTCGAAGGGGCTAGGCATATTGTCATAGCATCAATTTTGTCTATAATAATCTTTATAAGAATATCGAAAACAAGATATTCGATGAGCAAGAACTTATATAAACTTAGTCTTTCAAAGAACGTGTAAAGAAATTATAGTTCAAATATATATTTTTAATACAAGGTATTCTATGATATTAGAATCTACTTATAGCACCCTCTATATAGCAACTTAGAGTTCAACAATCTTTATAAGAATATCGAAGAGACTATTCCACCTGCTCTGTCAGTCTTCAATATGCTTATTGCCCATTATATATGTAAATTACCTTAGAGGTAGAGGCTGATAATTAGTTCCATTATAAAGTACATTCATTTATTTAACTATATATATATGATATTTACTGATGTAATTCTCATCTTCATAGATCTGCGCACACAGAATCCAATGCCAGTTTTACCATGGAGGATGAGCAGCTGGATCCCACGGTAGTGGAGACCTACATGGGTGAATGGAAGAAGGACAAGCGCTGTGGTCACGGTGTTGCCGAGCGCAGCGACGGACTCAAGTGAGTGGACAAACTTAATGTGACTCAATCACAGATAACTAACTAAGCTCTTCTCTCTGCCCCCCTCCCGTCCATTGCAGATATGAGGGCGAGTGGTACAACAATCGCAAGCACGGCTATGGCGTGACCACGTTTCGCGATGGCACCGTCGAGGAGGGCAAATACAAGAACAACATATTGATCAGCAGCCAGAAGAAAAAGCATTTGTTCCTGGCGCGTTCGCGCAAATTCCGTGACCGTATCACGGCCGCCGTTAATTCCGCGCAGCGTGCCCTCAAAATGGCCATGCAGCGCTCCGACATGGCCATCTCGCGCATGGCCACAGCCGCTGCCAAGGCCCAGAACGCGGACATCGCTGCCGAGCAGGCACGCATCGATTGCGAGAACGCCGTGCGCATGGCACGCGAGTTTGCGCCGGACTTCAAGCCCTCGGTGCTGGAGCGTTTCGAGAAGCTGCGCTATCGCGAGCGCGAGCGCTACCGCGCGCCCCCTAGCCAAAACAATATGGACTTGAGTCTGGGCATGTCGGCTGGCGGCAAGTCGGCGACGTCCATGCAGCAACAACAGCAGCAGCAGCAATTTTCGCCGGCCAGCAGTGGCGGTGGCTCCGGCTCGGATGCATATGCCACGCAGGCGCAGCGACAGCAGCAATATGTGAACATGCAGCAGCAGCAGCGGCGCATGTCGCAGCAGCAACACGAGTCGGAGTGCCCGGTGCCCTCGTCCATGTATTCGCAACAGCTGCCCGTCTCGCCGCAGACGGATCTCTCCGGGATGGTGAGCCAAGCGCAGCCCAGCCATGCGCAGGTCGTCAGCGCCATCAATCAAATGTATCACCAGCAGCAGCATCAACAGCAGCAGCAGCAGCAGCAACAGCAGCAACAGCAGCAACAGCAGCAGCAATTGCAACAGAACAATCCACAAATGAATCCTGCATATCAGTTCCAGCAGCAGCAGCCGCCTGGCGGCGTCAAACTGAACCAGCAGACGCCTTTTGGCGCCGGCAATCCCAATGTGGCGTCCAGCAACATGAGCAACATGTCGCCGCAGCAGCAGCACCAACAGCAATTGATGCAGCAGCAGCAACTACAGCAACAGCAGCAGCAACAAAGACTCTACCAGCAGCAACAGCAGCAGCAACAACAACAGCTTCAGCAGCAGCAGCAGCAGCCCTCTCTGCAATCCTCGCCTAGTCATAACAGTGCCACCCTGTTGCGTCGCGCCTCCCAGCAGCAGCAACAACAGCAGCATCAGCAGCAGCTGGCGGATGCTGCCGCCAATGCCGCCGCCATGGCCGCGGCGCAGCAGCAGCCGCGCGGCCAGCGGCCACCCATGCTCGGCCAGATGGGCCAGCAGTCGTCCATCGATCACTTTGACCACTATAAGAGGCCGCCCAGCCGGGACTCGTCCATCGATCGCTATGCGCGGGCGGCGAGCCGCATGAGCGGCGGCTTTGCCGGCTCCCGTCAGGCCTCGCTAGATCGCACCGGGCTGGCCGACACGATGCCCAATGGCGGCGGCGGTGGGGCCAGCACTCCGGATGGGCGTCCACGTGCGGGCTCAGTATTTCGGGGCACTACGCCGGTGCCGGGCGCAACAAGCGCCACTGTGAACTCGTCCATGACCGGCAATGGTTCGCTGCCCTCAGGCGCCGGCGGGCGTTTGTCGCGTGCCGGCACGCCCAGCTTGGGCAGTGGCGGTGGGCGTGCGCCCAGCCAAAGCAATGCGGCGGAGCCGCTCTTCTCGTCGCCCAATCAGCCCTTCGAGGACGTGCTGTTGCGTCAACGCACGCTCGGCCAGGATATCATTCCCTCGCCCTTGCAACCCAAACGTACGGAAAGCTTATATCTGCCAGCTAAGCCCGCGACACCGGTGGGCGTGGCCATGGGCGGCAAAGGCGGTGGTGGCAAGAAAATGAAGGTGAGTCAATGAAAATTTTGTTTAGGAATGGGTAAAACTTCTATGGCGGGGAAAAGTGGAAAAGCGAATAAGGGAAAAATATCGAAAACTTAAATAATCTGACTATTAAGAGAATATTTTGCATGTGGATAGTAGATTTGGGTGTTAATATAAATATGGGGTTTCTACTTAGAAGATATGCCCTAAAGAAGTCAGTCAATATCTCAGGCATTGTTTTAGATATTTTCTTTTTCAAAAGATTATTCTGATATAGGAGAAAAATATATAAATATATAGACAATCCAAAAACAGAATAGAAAGATTCTTCACTTTTTATAAGAAATACTTAAAATTACAAATTTCAAAATTTGTAATGAGACACTTTGCTGTGAATAAATGTAGACATTTTACTGTATAGAGACAATAATATTGATGGAGAAAAATCTCTACAAAAACTTTACATTAAATTCTTATTGATTGATTATTTGTGTTATAAAATTTGTTCCAAAAATATTTCGATCGAAAACAGAAGATGTGTGATAAAGATATATGTGAAAATTGTTAGATTGTAGGTGGAAACAAATGAGAACTAGAAATGCTTTGATATTAGAAAATATATATACGAATAGAGACTATGATTATTTATTGTTTATAAGATAAAAATATTAATATTTTGTTTTTATTTTATATGGGCTACTTTGTTTTAAATTGATTGGGTAAAACCCAGTACAAAAATTTTTTATTAATTATTATTAATATAGAATTGATTCAGAAAAATTGTTATATCAAGAATCAGAATATGTGTAGATAGAAAGTATCAAAATTGTTACACACAAATGAAAAGCACATGGAAATGTGTAAAGAAAAGGCTATTAGGAATGTTGGGAATTATTTTAGGGAGCTATCTACAGAGAAAGAGAGAGAGAGTTGGTTAGAGAGAGCACAAACTAAGTAATTGAGCTAAGTAATTGAAACATGTATTCGTTTAGGTAATATCAATGTTAGATGAATACTTAAAGAAATTGAAATTGACTTTAAATATTTATGGCGCACTTTGGGAAATGCTTTGTTTACACATGTTTAGCTGACCCATTTGGAAATCCCACCTAAGTTCATTTGCACTTTTGATGCGGATCATTAAACTGCACGCGTCTGTCTATGAAATTCCCGGGCTGGCTATTCCCAAATATTTCATAACTCAGTTAATCCGTGCAATTAACTTAATTCGTTGGCTATATATCTGTTCAAAACAAGAATAGCTGCCAATATAAAAGAGAGAGAGAGAGAGAGAGAGAGAGAGAGAGAGGAGAGTGGGAAAGGGAGAGCGAAAGCGAGAGAGAGAGATTAAGTGAGAGCCGAGTGGAACATGTGCCCATTCTCCGGCTATTTTTAGTGAAAAGTGAGTGCAGGCCGGAATGGAATGCAAATGCCACTCGCTGATCTTGCGCTCTCTCTCTTTCGCTCTTTCTCTCTCTCTCTCTCCCTCTCTCTCTATCTATCTTCCTCTCTTGCTGAATGTGGATGAACACTTCACAAGTGGTGGCAGTGGCCCATTGGAATTGGATTTGTCGCCCTGCTCAATTGTCGCTGGCTGGCGACAATTTTCGTTGGCTCTTTGGTAGTAGCAAAAAACGCGTTGGTCCCGCCAGAGGCCGTGGCTAAGATCCACTTGGCAAATACACTTGTGTCACTGTTAAACAAATTTCATATATATAGATAGATATATACATATATATATATACGCATATATATTATTCTAGTGCTGAAGAATTTTGAAGATCAGAAACAGAGGCGAAGGCGGGGGATTCTTTTCTTCTTCGAATTGTTGTTATTGCTTTGGCTTTGGCTCACTGCCGTGCGTGTTGGACTATTTTTGGCCATTGGGGCGCATTGCTGGCAGCGGCCACAGTTGGCCACAAGTGTCGTCGGCATTATAAGTGTTTAGTAAAAATTCTAGCGTCATGTTCAACTCGTTTACAAGTTGGAGGTGGCGCCACTGAACGGTAGTGATTGCCCGACTTATGCAAGCTCTGCCACTGCCGCTGGCTGTTGCTGAATTGTGTAGCCTTTGAGAGGCGAAAGGGGTCAGCATGGACTGGTATCCCGAGGAGGATGAGGAGGACTTGATGTTCTCGCCGGCCCTGTTGGCGCGACGGGCCAGCGAAAGCTGGATAGTGGAGCCGCCCGTTGAGGTGGTGTTGCATGCAACCAACTGAGAATCGCATAGAAGACGCTTGCATAACTAATATTGTATTGATTTTCCTTTCCACCTCGATGCAGACGGTGCCCATCAATGTGACGCTGCAGCGGAAGAAGTCGATGCCCGACTTCCAGGAGCTGCCGCGCGCCACGGAGGCGATGAGTCGCGAGGAGGTCTCCGCCCTGGGCTCGGCACGTCGCGAGGCCGTGCGTCGCCAGATCGAAGTCAACGAACGCCTGAGGGCGAATCCCTTGCTGTATTTGGTTAGTCCGCAAGTTAAGGTGAGTGCTGAAAGGACTGCCAGTTGTACCCGCTGCTCAGTGTTCCTTTTGTCTCTCAACAGGATTGGTTTGTGCGCCGCCAGCTGATGCTGCTCGTGCTCTTTGTCAATATACTATTGGCGCTTTTATTTGTCAAGATGGTTACCTAGCGCCGGATGCGCAACGCCACACGGAGCCGAACCAGAGCAACAGCCAGGAGACCAGCAGCAGTCGCAGCAGCAGCAACACCCGAAACGTTTTGGAGCCATTGTGCTGTGCATGCAGTCAACTCTCGTACAGTTTGGGAGCCATTGTTACGCGCTTGTGGTGGATTTGAATTTGAAGCTGGTGCTGCCGCTGCTGCTGCTACAGTTCGAGTGCCACTGCGCGTTCTGTGTGGTTAAACAAATTTTTTTTTGTGGAGCTAAAGCTAACAATTTTTAGCATTTGCACTAAACAGATTTATATAAATATATATATATATATACATATTAAAATATAAACATATATTTAAACATACTATATGTATATCAATATGTATAATAAACATAAATCGAATTAAACACTAGACTGCAGCCAAATTGAAAATGAAAACAAAAATGACTCATAAATAATAATAAAAGCAACAAAAAAGTAAATGAAACGCAAAACTGCATTGCACAACTCGTAGTAAATTAAATGTTTAAACAATAAATGACTGCATAAAACAAATTTGACAAGCCAATAATTTGTATTTGTGGCTAATGAAATGAAATAACACAAATAGTTAAACAAAAACAAAAAAACTATACGCAAATCAATTTAACGAATTTTTCTACACATTTAATGTAAAAGTAATATACTTCACATACAAACATATGTATGTACATATATATATATGTATATGTAAACAAAAACCATTTATCAATATTTATGCATACAAACACACACACACACACTTACTCATAATTTCATAAACACTCACACAGACACACATGAATATATATTTAAATTATGGCTATATTAAATGAAAAAGCAAATTTTAGACAAAAAGCAAGAATAAAAAAAACTATTTCCTATTTGCAATTGAAATTTAATTTAGTCAGCAAGCTAATCACAAAAACAAAAGGCAACTAACTAATATTTATAAAATATTAAAAAAAAAAAAAGAACACTAAAATTGTAATAATTGTGAACACGTATATTTGTATAAATTAGCGAAATTGTGTGGGACCTAAAACGACAACAACAAAAACAACAGCAAGATCATGAAAACCAAAGTAAACAAACAAACAAATAATATAAAAATTAAAAATAATAATTAGTTTGAGCGTGATTGAAGCGCTTTGTTTTTTGGGCCAGCAAATTAGCCAGAATTTCGAAAAGTGAACAAAAAAATTACGTAAATGTTAAAATTAAATGCAAAATATCTGAGATTGAGATTGTTGATGAACGGAAGCTGTATATACTATAACTTATAAACTTATCATATAACTATAACATTTAATTATTTCTCTCCATACAATTATTATATATTACATATTTTTAATTTCATAGCTGAAATTATGCCATTTCTTGAAATGTTTGCAATTTATTGTTTTGATTTTTTAGTTTCATCTTTGGTTTTTTATATATATATATATATATATATATATATATATATATATATATATATATATATATTCATAAATTTTATTTAATATTTTGATTTGTTCTTTTTTATGCAAAATATTATTTTAAAATAAACAAACAAAAAAACCAACACATGAATCTGTGTGTAAAAAAGTATTTATTTTCCTTCTTTCTCCTTAACTTCATATATTATATGAAAAAAAAAAACAAAACAAAAACAAAAACGAAAAAAATACTCTCAAGTGCAATTATATAAGCTGTAAAACTTTCTGCTTTTTCTCAGCTGCTAATGGATGTTCGATTGATTGGCAAAAATTGGCAGAAAATCTTACAAATTGAAAGACTTGAAAATGAAAATTGTTGGCTGATTGATGAATGGAAATTTAATTTGTGCTAGCGACTCAATAAAAATCAATTGCATATATTGCATTAAACAAAACCAAAACAAATTTTAAGTAATTCATGTATATACGTATGCCTATATATATATATATATATATATATATATATATATATATATATATATATATATATATATATATATATGTATATCAGATGTGCTAGCATAACCAATGAAAGAAGCTGGATAATTATTAAAGAAGAAAAAAAAGGCGATCAAATCTTATTTAATGTTATCAGCAAATATATATCAAAAGAACGCATAATAAAATTAAATTTTTCAAGGCTATATATAATAATAAAAAATATTTAAAAAAAAACTACAAAATGGAATATATAGTTTGAAATTAGTTTTGGTTATCGGTCGCGGGGTTTCTGGTGGCTCGTAAGACATTTGATTTCAGAATAAGTTTTTTTTTTTTTTTTTTTTTTTTTTTTTATATATATTTTATAACTTTTCATACACTTTTTATGCACTGCTACTTCAGGGAATATTTTGGCCAATAAATATTTTCGTTTAGGTAATAGCCTACAATTAGGTTGGATAAATAAAGAGTTAGATTAGTAAGGAACCAGACTATATTTAATAAATATTAGTAATTTTTTAATTTTATTGAAAATGGGAAATCGGATATTTTGCCATTCTTGATGATCAACTTTAAATGTAAAATATATTGATTTCATTTCATAATTTTATTCATGCACTCCTATTTCAGTGAAAATATTTAAAAGTATAAATATTTTTGGATAACTTGGGTGCTAAATTTTATCTCAAGCCCTATTATTACTTAATATTTTAATTGAATTTTTATAGTCTAGTTTGGCACTTCTTTAGTAACAGAATAGCAAATATATTTAATAAATAAGAAAAATTAAAGTTATTGAGATAGGCGATTTACCTCGCATTCCATATGGATATTACCCCAACTCCTGGCTTTACCGCTAAATTACAACATTGCACAAATAAAACACAATAGTAATAGTATGCGAAACGCTTTATTATCAATTTAGCTTAATGGGGTTTTCTTTTTAGCATTATCAAAATGTTTTGGGAGTACAGAGTTCGCGATTTGTCGTTGTTGTATTTGCAATTGTTTAGCATGATGCAACATTACGGCGCACTACTACACATTATCATTTTTCTCACATATGTATTGTATGTATAAAAATGTAAGTGAATTGCTAGAGTATTGTACTATGAATGCTGTATAATTATTTATAATCGAAGAGGTTGGCCATTATTATTTTTATACCATATATGAAAACTATTTTTAAATACGTATGCAAGTTGTCTGTCTGTCTGTCGTTCAGTCAGTCTGTCCCCCTGTCTGTCGTGTTGTTGTGTGTATATTGAAGACATAGGTCAAGCCCCCACATAATAGCACCTTGCTTGCTGGCAAACCTCTATTGAACGCATTTCAAAAATAAAATTAAACAAATAAAATATATAACTACAACAATGAAACCCGTTCAATTAGTTTTAAGCGCAAGCAAAGCGCCAATTCGTGATCAAACAAATGTAAGAAAATGAAAAGCACAAAGCTGTCAACAAGGCAGAAAGGAACGCCCGCTATTGGCTGAATGATGGCTCATAACGCGCCCGGCTTCAGGGAAAACGATAATTTTGGTCTTGAATTATTTTTGCCCAATATGACCTTTTGCTCCTCCTTGACACGCTTCTCCTGCTCTTTGCGCATACGCTGCCGCTCCTCGTCCATCAGACGCTGTTCCTCAATGATAGCTAAGCGCTCTTCGGCCTGTTGAACGGATAGAAAATATCAATGGAAATGTTTCAGGTTTATTTAGATATATACACTTACCAATTTTCTTTGAGCCTCCTCGATTTTGCGATTATTTTCGGCCAAAATTTCTTCGAGCTCTTCGCGTTTTTGCTTTTCCTCCTCCTATAAAACCCAAATAAAATGGCGTATTAATAAATCAGATTTAATGCTTCGTCGAATGCTTATATCTAGTTATGATTATATATATAAACGGTGGTATCTTTAACATCGGTGACGCAGACTTTGCGGCGGCATTGGATCTTATCTTATTTTGATGGGCTGCATATAGATATACATATGTATTAAAGATCTAATTTAATGTTCAACAATAAGTTACATAGAAATATATTGGTAGAAAATAAAAATAAACATTTAGTAGTGTCTAATAAAAAGGTTTAAATAATAATTGTTTTTTTTTTTTTTTTTTTTTTTTGCAAATTTAATGTTTAACAATAAGAGCACACAACATTAACAAATGTACTTAAATTTGATTTTCTTTAAATTTGGTTTTCAATTTTTTTCTTTTCTTTTATTCTATTTTTTGTTTGTTTTTGTTTTTTGTTTTATTTTTGTTGCTACTTACTATTGAAATAGTTCATTTTTCCAGTTTAATGGCTAAATCATTTTGTTAATTTTTGGCTGTGCTGCGAATTTGTATTTTGATTTACGGTATTCAGCTACATAGTTGTTTAATCAGAATAACATTACATTTTTTTTTTTTTTTTTTTTTTTGAGTTTAGGAATCAAATTATAATAGCGTTTCGACCAAACGATAAATGTTTGAAGAAACCAAACATACATAAAATTAATATTTGTGGCACGACAACAACAACAAGTTCAGTCATACCCATTGATTGACAAATGGTTATCCGGGCTTATGAGTTACGATAAAACAATCTTATGTCTGATCGGCTTTGATTTGGTTGTCCTATGTCGAATGTTCCTAGAGGGAGAGCTTTGAGTCCTTAAAGACTATTTTTTTTTTTTTTTTGTTTTGTTTGTTTATTATTTGCATTTGCATTTGCAATGCACTCGAATGATGATTGTTCCATTCACTTAACACACTTCAAGTTTGTTTATATCCATTTAAGTTATTCACACGTTTCGTTTTGTTTAACGAACTCTCACTCACCCGTTTATTGGTATGAATAGGCGCCCGTGTATGGGGGATCTATTAGGGATTTGGCATGCATCGTACTGTTGGAACTAAGGTAAGCTATGCTAAGCCCGCCCTCACACCCAAACACTGTACTGGCTAAGAGATACTGAGCTTGATCGACTACACTGCGATAAACGATATACGCGATACGTGGTTCGGGTTACGCTACACGGGATACGTATGTGTGTATGCGTGTGTAGTACATCGTCAAGGATCTCCTAGAGAGCTGATTGGTGCTCTCATCCGTGTGGCCGAATTCTCATCGTAAGCATTAGCTCCGGCTTAGGTGGGGGCTGAATGGTAGCAGAGCTTCACATACACATATACAATTCTGTATACGTATGTGTATATATGTACGTGTTTTGTTTACTGTTGTAATCCCATCTCTCCTAAACACACACAGACACACTCTCACACACGCAGGCACACACCCACACACACATTTGATCGAAGCATTAAATTGCGCGCATTATGTAACAACAACAACAACCAGTTACAGAAACCAATCAAAATGAAATCAAACAAGAATAGATGAGGCTAAAAGTAACGCAAAAATTGAATTATGCACTTTTGTGGGCGTCAAAACTGCAAGACGATATTTTTGGCTTTTGGGTATTTGTCTTTCGTTACGTTTTTGGTTTGTAGAAAAAAATAAATAATAATAATTACAAAATTGATTTGGCAATAGTAATGCGAAATGTGCAACGACGTGGCCAGCGACTCAGCGTTTGTTTGTGTGTGTGTGTGTGTTTACATGTGTGTATGCTGCGGTCATAAGCCGAAAGATTAAACCAGTTCATTAGTATGGTAGGTTAGTGGATTAGCAGTGTAAAAAGAACATCAATAGGTTTACTTGAATGACTATTAGCTAAATTTGTATACACACACGCACACACACTCAGGGACAAACTGAGCCTTTAGCATCTGCTCATTACAGGTGGCAACTGAAAACGTCGCTACACAGTTTCGTAAATGAGTTTGTTCAAGACGACTGTTTGCAACTGCTATTGGTATTGTACATGTGTGTGTTTTTCGGTAGTTGTAGTCGAAGGCTGTATACTGTGCGTGTGTTGATAGTTGATAGTTTGGGTATTTGTGGTAGCAGCAGTCGTCCAGCGAAATGTGAATACGAGCACCTACCTCGCGACGGCGTTCTTCTTCGCGTATCTGCTCGCGCCGCTTCTCCAGCTCCAGCATCATTTCACGTTCCATTTCAGCTTTGGCTGTCTCGACGCGACGATTCACCTCCTGTTCGATTTCGTCGCGTCGCTTTTCGAGCTCCTCTTCGACACGTTTCTTGACGAGCATTTCAATGCGCTTGGCCGCCTGCTCTTCGATCGTTTTCTGCTCAGCTTCCTTTTGGCGACGCTGCCGTTCCATTTCGGCAAGTCGCTCTACCTGAAGTAAATTTTGCTGCAACCGAAGAGATTAATCAAACTGGAGTACATTAAATTACTGGGCAGCCAATGCTTACCTCATCCAGTTTCTTGAATCGACTGCGCTTGTGTCGACTGCGTTGCGTCTCGTGATCCGAGTACTGCTGGCTATCACTGCTTGAGGAGCTGGAGCGTTTGCGGGACTTGGAGTGCGAGTGCCGGTGATAGTCGCGCTCTGTGTGTGTGTGCAGGTGCGTGTGAGTGTGCCTGTCGCTGCGATGTCTATCGCGCTCTCGCCGGCCTTCCGCCGACTTTTCTCTATCCGTGCGACTGCTGCGGGTGCAGCTACTGCGCTCATGCTCGTAGTCCCGTTCCCTGTCGCGATTGTGTGACTTACTCTTGCTGCGTTTTTTGTGTTTGCTCTTGTGATGGCGGCGTTTCACCGACGGACTGCGCGAACGTGAACCCATTATTGTATATGTTGATCAATTAAATTGCTGCCGTTTTTAGAAAATTTATTCAATGCCTTTTTTTTGATTAGTTTCTCACAACAAAATCAATCTACAGATGCCTTAAAAATAGTGTTGTAGAATGCCGTCATGCTGTCATTCACTGACAACGTTTACAGCACTAAATATTTGGTATTTTTACGGGCATCCGCAATTGGTACGATTCTTATCCATGTTCAGAATCATTTCATGAAACTTCTCAATCATCACTTGATTGTCCTTAAAGCCAACACATTCCTTCGCCGCATCCTTTGGGAGCCATTTAAGCTCTGTATGTTCCTCGGAAAGAATGACTTCTTGGTTTGGATTCCGTAACTCTGCCAGCCAATAGATAACAACCTTTGGTTTACCTTTGACCTCATAGTTTAGAGTCAGTGGCGTGTCGCGATATATAATCAAATCCTTTTCATCGAAACTACAATCCAAAATGAGTATAATTAACGGTCAAAAAGCTACTCTTTGTTTCATATGCACTTACCCGGCTTCCTCCTTTGTTTCGCGCAGCGCTGTAGTAAAGTCATCTTCACCAGGATCTACATGACCTTTTGGGGCGCTCCAGTGAAAATCGCCATATGAAGCTTTTAGTAGTAAATATTGAATTTCTCCACATAGGCGCCGAAAAAGGACAAATCCAGCTGCTCTTTTGCCCATCTTTCTCGTAATTAGTTCATAAGTGTTGAAAAGTAATTTAAAATAACGCTCTGAAGTTACTGACTTGGCATAGAATATATTAATTTAAATACTGAATTTTTAAATATTAATAAAAATAATAGCCGTTCTAAGCAATTGTTTTTGTGGTTGTCTAATTTTAAGAATACCTATTTTTTAATGCTAAAACAACTACTGCAATTTATATGCTATTTGTAGATGCAAATTATATTGTAAATTGTATTTTTTTTAGTCGAGACAACCACCAGCACAAAATGTGCAAAAAAACGATTTTATTCAAAAAATGCGCGCTTTGCACCGCTTACAACACTGGCTGATTAGTTTACATAGATTGGAGCCGAGCACGTTGTGTTTGATAAATTAAGTTATATAAATAATATAAAAGTTGCAATAGAAATGTTTGCTTTATTGCGTCGTTTGACGTGCGCATCAATCACAAACAGCAGAAAACTAAACCAGGTGCGATGCTATGCGTCCTTCACTGTAAGGGATGTATTGCGAGACACTTCAGATGAGACCGGCACGCTGCTGACCCGCTTTGCCAAGCACATAGCCATCGACCGCTACAAGTGCGAGGAGCACGTGCTGCCACCAACGAAAATTCGCTATTCGGACTACTTTCCCATCACGGATGAGCATTACTTTCGACGCTCCGTGCAGCAGACAGATGCTTCACAGCTGCCAGCACTGATCATACATGCATCCAGTTATCGTTCGAATGCAGTACCAGCCATGTATGCCAAGGCCTTGAATGTGCTGGATGCGCATGCAACTGCACAACTAGACAAAATGGACGTTTCCACTGTACTGGAGACTCTCTATGCATTTCTGTTTCTCATCCCAAATTGGCTGAGGCGTATCGATTTCTATCATGCGGCCATGCGACGTTTGGTACAGGAAGCGGCTGGCAGCAAGCAGCGGTTTTTGCAAATCTGTTTCTATTTAGGCCTGCAGAAGCAACATCAGCAAACTGATTTGGAGACGATGCTTGCGACGCAGCTTGGCAAGCACTTGGCGAACTTAACTCCTCTGGATCTGGCTCTGGTTTGTAATGCTGCCTATAAAACTTCGACTTTGGTGACGGGTGAAGTGCGTCAGGCCTATGAGACTGCCCTGGTGGATGCAATTCTGAACTTAAAGCTTGACGGGGATAGCGTTCCGGATGATTCGCTGCTTGTTTGCTATGTCAAGGCATTGCGCTTCCAACGCGTGCACGACGAGCGAATCTGCCAGCACCTGCAGAGCATTTGCCTAGAGTCCACACAGCTAACAAAACTTCAGCCGCGTGGCCTGGCACACATATTTGCGTACTTTGCTGAGATGCGTTGGGATCAGCCGGAATGCATGCAGGCCCTTGTGGAACGATTATTGAGCTTCAATCCCGGTGAACTGCGTGCTAAGGACGTGTCCACATTCCTCTGGAGCTGCGCACAGCTGAATTGCAGCTTAACTGCTGAGCAGCTGAGACAACTGGAGGTGGTTGCATTACGTAAATTGAATAATGGCGAGTATGACCGTTTTCCCGACCAACTAGTGGATGCGTGCCTCTCCTTGGTTATTCTGGGTCACCACTCGAAGCAGCTGTTCGACGGAGCCGAGGAGCTGAAGGCCGCGCAACGTCAGCGACAGCGTGCACAACCCAAAGTGGACAGCCGCTTGACTGTGCTGCGATCTGCTGTGGCCATAGAGCATCCCGAATGGACGGACGTCAAGACGAAGCAGGCCTTCAAGGAGCTCGCCCGTGCGCCCGCCTATTTGCTCAGTCAGCGTGAGGATCTGACTGCATATGCCAATCAGTTGTCGGCAGATGCCGAGGTGGAAGGCGTTGACTTGGTATGCCCCATTGCCGGCATCAATTTGCCCAGCCTGCGTGTCCAGACCCAAGGCGAGCAAGCCAGCATATACTTTATAGAGCTGCTGACGCCGGAACAGACGCTGAAGTTCAGTCGATCGGCGACTTCCTTGCTACGCTTGAAGCGGAGACTGCTGGAAACGCTGGATCAGCGTGTTGTGCTAGTAAGTAAACGATCCTAATCTTCAGCTAAGCCAATCTAATTCTAATTCCAATCTCTCCTCAGCTCCATTCTGGTGAGATGGCATCGAATGCTCAAGCGCTGCAACAGCTTTTGGAACAAACAGCAACTGCCAAAAAGGAGCTAAAGCAGGCAGCGCAAGGCCTGAACAATTGAAACGTGTGATATAGAGTCTACGTGCTATAGATTTAATTAACAAGTCTTTTATTAATGTAATTAATTTAGTAAAATTAACACTAAACGTAATTTTCAACAAGTTATATATAATACAAGTGGGCAAGTTTGTTTCTTGGAATGGCAGCGCTCATCGGATCGACTTGAGCTTGGCCTTGAGCACAAAGTAGGCGCTCACACGGAAGAGGAGCAGCATTATGCTCAGCGCCATGAGATCGTTCCAGAACTGATCGCCCGACATGGTAATCTCCTCCAAGAACTTCTTTGGGTATCTGTAAGAGTTTAAGATGTTCAGTAATCCACTTCGTCAGCTGCTGATCTACTTCCTTACCTATAATGGCAGTAGGGCGCCTCGTTGCAGTCCAAAACCCCCCGATTCATTCCATAGATGGCAGCTATGTAGCCCTCGAGACCATATCGTAAATGGGATATGTGACTGCCCCACTTCAGGTAGCTGGGCAGATCGCGCAAAGTGACGCCAAAGCCGGCGAACATCATCATGGGAATGGTGAGCACGGGAGCAAGGAAAGTTCCGTTGACCACATTGCACCAGGCGCCAATAATCAATCCAAAACTTTGGCCCACAAACACAACAAGCAAACTGATCACAAAGAACATCCAGAAGCGCACCCACTCCATGGGCTGATAGCTCCACAAATAAATGATGACCGTGAACAGGAGTGTACTGATAAACTGGAAAACAGGTGAGATATAAGATACAATAGACTTTCCTCTGTAGTTAGAGCTATGATAATTACTGTTATGGGTATTTCCAAGAGCGTCATGGCTGTGTAGTAGGCCTTCAGGGAATACCAACGATTGAAATGTTCTTTGATCAATATTGTCATCTCAAGGGGGACTGCAATTAAAGAGAAATACAATTGGATCGTTCTCTATGCCGATCGGCGCAATCTCGGTTGCTAATAAGTCTCTACTCACATGTCAGAACCGTCAACATCATCGTCGTCATGGAATGGTGCATCAATATGGCAAACAGAAGATTATAATTATCCAAAACTCGTGAGCCCTCCCTGCCGGAGTGATCGTACATCGCGCCATAGAGTACGGCCACACAAATGTTGACGAAGAGCCGTAGATGGGTCATTGTTGTATCGCGACCGGACTTGATGTAGCCACGCCGTAGCAGCACAGTGCACTGATTCATAAAGCTGGTGTTCTCCAGGGAAACGTTTTTACTACGCTTGGGTATGGGGTACTTGTGGATGAGCGCCTCGGAACGCAGCACAGCGCTCGGATTGTTGAACCAGGCCAGACTGTTACCGTTCTCCGACGCTGACTTAAGCGTATCGATCTTGTCGAAGCCGTACTCCCCGCAGGCCAGCTCGATGACTGAGTGAGGAGAGAGGGGAGAGAGAAACGTTAACTATATTTACAGTTGGACTTATGGGGCACTCACTGTAATCAGCTGGATTGTGGTACATAGGACAGGGCAGATCTACGGAATGCAGGAAGGGCACCAGCTTCTGGGTGCCACCCTGGTAGACGCAGTTGCCGGAAGAGAGCACATAGACTTGATCGAATATTTGGAATAGCTTGGCAGTCGGCTGATGTATGGTGCAAATGATGGTGCGACCCTGGTTGGTCAAGCGTTTCAATAGCTCCAAGACTTTGGTGCAGGAACTGCTGTCCAAGCCACTATTGGACAGAGTAAAGCGAGAGATTGAGAATTGACGTTGACTAGACGAAAATGTGCACCTACGTTGTGGGCTCGTCCAGAAACATCACAGTGGGATTATTAATCAATTCCATGGCAATGGATAGCCTCTTTCTTTGGCCGCCAGACAGGCGGCCTGTCATCGTCTGATCGTGATCGTAAAGGCCCAGCAGCAACAGAATGTCCTCAATCTAAAAAATGGTAAGTCATGCTTAGATGAAGTTTCATAAATATACAAAACTTTTGGCTTACTCTGCTCTCCTTCTCCTCGTAGCTGACATTCTCACCCAATTTCAGATCGGCCGCTATATGCATGTTCTCGGTCACCGTCAGCAGAGGCTGCAGACGATCATCCTGTGTGATATAGCAGGACATGCGACGAAACGAGGCTGTGATCGAGATATTCATATATAT